CTGAAGGGATCTTTCTCCTGCTAAGGCTGCCTGTCCCAACGGTGGTTCCTGCTTCTGGGATATCTCTTCACCATGGTTGCATTTCTCTGTGCCATTAGAGCAGAGGTTCTCAACCGGGGCAAGTCTGCATCTCGGGGAACATCTGGCAACACCTGGAGACATTTTTGGTGTGCTACTGGCATCTAGTGGGTAGAGGGTGAGTACACTGCCAATGCCCCGTATGGGGCAGAGCAGGTCTCTACAACTAGGATTTATCCAGCTCAATGCGTCTATGCTGCCGAGGCCAAGAAACTGTGCTGACAGAGCTTTAGAGCGGTGAAGGAGTGGAGCTGTGGACAGTTCTCCCTCCTGACCTGGGGAGAGGCCTGTCCCACAGCCCCTGGCTCCAGCCTCCTGCTCCTCTGTTCTCCCAGCCTGGAGCCCCACTTCTGAACAGATCCTGCCAACAATGCATCAGTTTAATTGGGTTAAGTGGCCATTAGCGGCAAAAGCAGGGCGGCTGTGTGCAGAAGAAGGGTTTTTAATTTTACTTTTTAAATGATGCTCATTCCCCAGAGGGGCCACGGATGGTGGGACTGCTGCCCACTGGAGCCCCAAGAACCAAGGCCAGGGCCGCACCTTGCTTTGCCCCATCCTTGTGAGCCTGCTGGCGCTGTGGGAGGGCTGCTTGCTGCCCAAGAAAGAAACTGAGGGAGCAGGACTTGGCTAAGGTCACTGGGTCATCCAAGACCAGCGCCGTGTTTCAGGAGACCAGTGCCCATCTCCTCTTTCCTCGGCCCTGCCTCCTGTGAATGGCAAACGCCATGTGGCCCTGATCTTAGCAAAGAGAAGGGGCAGTGTCAGGGAGAAGTTTCTGGGGCTGGGAGCCAGCTGCCTGAATCTGCAGTCTGGTTTTACTAGGAGACCCCTCCTGAGGCGCAGGGCCTCACACGGGAAACAGAAGCAAGGGAAGGAACCCGGCGACTTGTGGGCAATCAGGAGTGCTCAGGTGCACTGGAGGCCTGGCACTTGGTGGGCACTCATGATTTCTGCCATCTGAAGGGAAAACCAAATCTGCACAGACTCATCTGTGGACCACTGAGAAACACTGATGCCCTGGGGCACCTCTGCAGAATCTGAAGTACTGGGGGGAGCTTTTAAAATTTGCAACCCGGGCTACAAAGCACGGCCAAGGGGCAGGGGCAAAGTATCTGGAGGGTCTTGGCCTCGGGGATGACGGGTGGGACCTGATGTGCAGTGGCAGAGGGTACACAGGCATGGCTGGAAGTCCTGCAGTCCCGGCCAGGCCCCTCCACTGTCTCTACTTGTGGGGAGCTGGAAGAGAGAAAGACTTCCCGGGAGCAGGGCTTCAGCCTCCTCACTGATATCTTCAGGAACCGGCTCTAGCCTGGCCCTGGGGTTCCCATGCCCTGGGAACCAAACTTGCTGAGCCACAGTGCAGTGGCCCTGTCCCAGACAGAAGGCTCTGAATTCTTCCCAGGGGCTACCTTCACCTTCTCCAAGGCCATGACCCTTCCCACGGCACACGGCTCTGAGCCACACGGCAAAGGTGGCAGCGATGGGGCTGCAGGTGGCATAAGCCTCAAGGATGCTCTGCACACTGTGGCATTTATGAATGACAGATTCCCGCAGGGACGGTGCTGGTCTGTGTGTCTTTTACTTTTACTGTTTTGAGATGAGGCCTTGCTATGTTAACTGTCCTGGGCTCACGTGATCCTCCTGTCTCGCAGCCTCTTGAGTAGCTGGGACTACGAGCTACAGCACCGTAGCCGGCCGCTGTGTGTCTCTTTTACACAAGGAAAACTTGGGCCTGGGAAGGGTCTGGCAGGGGAGCTCCCCCAGGCAGGAACAGGGCTGCCCTTCAGTGCTGCACCCCCGCACAGTGCCTGTCACACAGCAGGCCGGCGGTGAGTGCTGGTGACTAGCTGGAGGGAGGAACACGCACCGAAGAGAAAACCTTTCTGAGAAAGGGGCCCTGTGCCAAGAACGCAGCTGGGCCCAACTCTGCCCGCAGTGTGCCATAAGAATCTGGGCATCTTCTTATCCTCCTGCGACCCCAAACTCCATGAGAGCAGGCCCGGCTCAGACGCCCGCCTCCTCGGGTGGGGGAAGTGCCAAGCAGCGCCCCTCCCCATGGCCAGAGCTGAGTGCCCAGCGGGCCTGTGGATGGCCCCTGCCTGTGTTGCAAGGCCCTGACCTGGCCTGCATGTGCCTGACTCTTGGCCCCGGAAACTGCCCTGAGCAGCCTGGAGAAACATCCGATTGTCCCTGATCAAAGGAGACAATGAACTTCTGCCCTGCGTCCTCGCTTAGCTCCCTCTCTGCAAGCCCCAAATTAAAATTCCAGACCAGGATAAGGGATTTAAATTGGATTACTGGATGGGGTCCAGGGAGAGAGGAACAATGCGGGGGGGGGGGGGGGGAGGGGAATGGGAGCCCAGCCCCCACCTCTCCCCCCATGTGCACTCAGGCTGTAAACACACATGGAAGAGAAAAAAGGGACCAGAACTTGATTAGAAGCAAATTTAAAGCATAATGAAGATCAAAGCTCACTCTGAACAATTAGGCCCAAGGAGCCGGGAGGGTAGTTCTCTCTTCCTCTGAGGAAATGGGCAGGACAGTCTTCTGGGCCAGGAGCCAGGGCGTACTGCAGCAGGAGGGGCCAGTGGGCAAGACAGTGCTGGCCTCAGTGCACACCCTGGGAGTAATGTGGGGAGTCAGGGCCTGGCTCAGACAGACAGACCTGGGTTCAAATCCTAGCTTTGCCATATCCTGTCTTGACACATGGCATCTCCAAGTCTCAGTTTCCCTTTCTGTGAAATGGGTTAGCAGGGCCTCCCTCTCATGGTTGCTGTGAGAATGCTCGCGACAGACTCAGCATGTGGTGGTCACTGTGCCTTTTCCCGTCATTTCCCCACCAGAAACCATTAAGTGCTGACCATGTACCATGCCATGGGCTGGGCTGCAGATGCATGGAAAGGAGACAGACGTCTGTCCTGTCTTGCAGGGTATGGGAGACAGTCGAGACCAGGACTTTAGGCCTCTGGCTGCACCCGGCCCCCACACCAAGTTACCAGGGTTGATTGTTCTCCTAGGGTTGGGTTAAGAGGCAGGGAAAGACTCCAGCACACGCTTCCTGAAGAGGATGGCAGGGGGCTGGGCTCTGGGCTCCCTGTATGCAGGGCTTATCTGTCACTGCCGCCACTCAGGAGCCCTCTGCCAGAACAACCAGTCCTGAAGCCGGGAGCGGCAGACCCATGGCCTGAAAGATGCTCCTTCCTGCACACGTCAGAGACGTGCAGCCCAGGTTGATCTGGGGGGGGCTGCATCCTGTAAATGCGGCATGGGGCAGCAAAGCTAGGAAGCAGCAGGGAAGTCTGGGAGAGACCAGGAGACGGAGAATAAGAGAAAGGAGGGCCTGCCGGGGCAGTGGGGGGCAGTGTGCCGTGCGCGTGGGGCCGCCAGACTTGCCTTTGCCTCCTCCCAGTACAGTTTGCTTCCCCAACCCTCTCCCCTTTCCTATGACGAGGAGACCCTGAAGGCCAGAGGGGCTGGGGCCTCTGGGTCCCTACTGGGGGGAGCCCGCAGAGTCTGCCTTCTCTGGATTCCTGGCCCCAGGAGGCCAGCCTCCCAGCTTCCATCACCCCAGATCGCACAGGGATAGGCAGGGGACCCCATGGGCGACAGCAGGGCCTTCTCAACAAGGACACTTCTCAACAAGGGCACTCTAGCTGTCTCTTGGGGCCTGGATATGGCCTGGAATGGGGTGGCAGCAGGACTTGACCCTGGCTACACTCTGGCTTGGGCCTGGATATGGCATACATGGAGTCACTCATTTTTAAAAAACTGATTTATTGATTTACTGATTTATAATTCACATACTCCCCCCAAACTCACTCACATAATGCATACAATTCAGTGACTGCTACTGAATTCAGAATCGTTCAAGAGCCATCACAATCTAATCTTATAATATTTTCATCACCACAAAAGAAATCCTATACCCATCAGTAGAAACCCCCTCCAGCCCCCTCTAGCCCTGGGTAACCACAAATCTACTTTCCATTTTTGGATTTGCCCGTTCTGGACATCTCACACAGATGGGCTCACACTATATGTGGCCTTTTGTCGGGTCTACAGGCCTCCATTTGACCAGCTGAGCTATTAAAGGGTGTGACATGTGGCCTTTTGTCACTGGCTTCTTTCACTTGGTACAATGCTTTTGAGTCATTCATGTTGTAGAAATTATCAAGACTTCATTTTTTTCTATTAGACTTAGCTTGGGTAAGGGACACAGCTGTGACACAGGCTAGGGCAGTCGCGGTGTTTCTCTGAGACGGGACAGCTTTAAGGCCTCTTGCTTATTTATGCTTGACTCAGCTCCAGCTCCAGAGGCCCCACTTCCAGCTTTCTCCAGGTGGGCTGAGTAGCAAAGGTCTGCCTGCTTTGTCAGGACAGCCTGGCAGGTCCTGCACCCCAGAGAACCCGGGGGCCTTGGGGCTCACAGGTACAACAGGTACAACCTCTCTGGATGTCTAGGTGGAGAGACTGAGGCCCAGAGTTGGCACAGCAGGGGCTCCAGCCTTACCTGGGCATGCCCTCCTCTGTGGAGCCCTCCAGGTCCCTCCCCATCAGAGCCTGCAGCCCAGGCTAGGGGCAGAGTCCACCATCAACAGGGCACTGCCCTGGCCAGGTGCCCACCCAGAGCACAACATACAGACAGACAAGGAGACCCAGAGGAGTGGAAGGACCCCAGCCCGATAGGACAGAGGGGCAGGGCTGCCCGGATCGGAGATGCCAGGTCCTCCTTCACGCAGCAGACTCCTGGTATACTGTCCTGCTCCTGTCACAGCTGCCCACAGTCCCCATGGGCACAGCCCTGCTGACAACCGCCCCTTGAATTCAGAAGGCCCAGGGCTGTGCAGTGACAGAGGGGTGGGACACGGCCCTACTCATAGTCAGGGATACTCCATTTGCCTCCCTTAACGGCCCCCGCTTACCTTCAGGGCCTGCACCTTTCTGTCCAGTAGGCTCTCAATGTCCCCTGCCACCTTCTCCACCAGCTTCTGAGGCTCATTCTCCTGCACCTCAAACAGGTTCCGGTTGTCCTTGTAGATCTGGAAGGAAGCAGAGACTGGAGGTGAAGCCAGAGAGGTCTCAAGTCCCATGCCAGGGCCCAACATCGTCTTTCCTCACAGCTCAACTTGGTTCAGCCTTCGCCCCCCCACCCCCACTCAGAGGGCACAGGCTCCAGTGGCCTCGCCCTTGGTCTACGGGAGAGGCAAGGGTTGGGCTCTACAGCTGGTGCGGCGTTAGGGCCCAGTATTGACCTGTTGGTGGTGAGCAGCTGTTGGTGATGGTCCACACTGTCACCAACTTCTCTGGGCTTCAGGGTCCTCCCCTCAGGGACCACAAGCACCACCTACTGGCTTGTTTAAAGTGGAACAGCAGGGGGTCAGGGTGAGCTGGATGGGAGGCAAGAGGCAGGGCCCAGGGCGGAGGTGGAGCCAATAAGCGCACGCCACAGAGCCGCAGCATCCCAACACGAGGATGCTCTGACACCCACGCAAGCGCACATGCGTACACGCCCACACACGCACACTTGCACACAGCCACCCGCTATGTAGCCTCAGGCATCTGTACCCCATTTGCTGGTGCTGCCCCAGGGCACTGCACAAACTGTACCCGAGTTCTGGGTGGCCTGGGGGCTCCTCCGTCATTCAGGGCATAGAATATGGGGGAAGGGGCCAGGGAAGAGGGAGTGGGTGGTGGGGAGTGAATCTGCCAATCCCTCCTCCTCAGAAGGAGGGTCTGAGCACATGCGCATGAGGCAGTGTAAATTTGATGGGGTGTGTGTTTGTGACACCACTCAACACAGCCATTGCATGCACCTGTGAGTGCTTAGGTCCTCCAGACACGGCCTGGGAGTTGTGTGTGTCTTAGAAGCTGGTTTCTTCAGTCACCTTTGTTTATGGCAGAGGCAGACGTGGGGGGGGGCGGCGCATGGTACGCCGCTGTGGATGTCTCCAAGCCTGACCAGGTGTGTGCATCATCAACTGACCTCAGGGATCTGTGCCCCAAGGTGGCTCTTTCACCACCAGAGGTCACAGCCTGAGCTGCCATTACAGAGCTCTGTCACCAGGCTGTGCCAGGCTGCTGTTGAAGTGGAGGGGTACGGATAGACAGAGATGATGATAAGGGATAAGGAGGGACGCAGGCAGCTGATGAGAGACAGACTGGCAGGGAGAGATAAGGTCAGCAGAGTGACAGAAGATGGTGGAGATAAGGCTTCTGTCGCCTGACAGGGGGAGGGGCTGGGGCTGACGCTGCCAAAGCTGCTCTCCTGTAGCCAGCCCTGGCACTGCGAGGGTTAAAGCACTGCACAGAGCTGGCTCTGCCAATCTTTCCCACCACCCTCCACCCCTCCCAGCTTCTCTTTTCTTTTTGTCCTTCTCTTAGAACAAAATAATTTGTGGCAAAGTTGCTCCTTCCTGCAGAGCAGTGACAACTGAGGGGCAAGCTGCAGGCCTGGCTCCACGGCCCGCAAGGACAGAACCCGAGGGGACACTGGGGCAGGCTCCTCCCCAGGCTCCGGCCCTGCCTCAGTCCAGAGGCCCTCAGAAGGCGGACAGTGCTGGAGAGGGAGAGAGGCTGGAGCCTGGGGATGGAGGAAAAACGCAGGGGACCTGCGCCTTCTGCTGAGGAAACTGAGGCTCAGAGAGAGGACAGGTCCAGGCCATACAACTGAGTGGCCAAGACCCAGCACCCTGAACCGTCTTTCCTGAGTTTGGGAACATTAAAAACAACCCCCTTCCCTTGCCTTGGACCGCAGCCCCTGAATGAGTTACCCGCCTTGGCGCAGAGCAGCACCCTAGCCCTCTTGTGCCAGCAGGGGGCGCAGCCGCCTGGCTTCCTCAGGGAGGGGGAAGATCCTGTACGTCAGGCTGTCCTGTCAAGGTCATTGCCAGGATCCAAGGTGGACCGTGTGGGTCTCCTGACATTTCTCTCAGGGTCCAAGATGCCCCTTGCAGCCTGGCATGATGACTGGGCTAGGGCTTGGACCCCCAAAAGAGAGTAGATCTCCAGGTCTAAGGGTGACAGCCCAGAGCCCCAGACAGGTGACACAAAGTCTTGGAAGCTGAGGCTCTGCCGAGTCACCCATCTCTGAACCCTCAGCGTCGAATATATTAAATGAGAATGGCAACCCTCACCTCACAGGCTGACCAAGGACAACGGAACGCATGCCTTGAGGACCCTGTACTATTGTTGCCATGCTATTGCTTAGGATCACTACAATTCCTCCGAAGGAATCCTCATCCCCTCCCTGCCCTCATTTTCTCCCTGCTAGATCTGCACGCTCAGAGCTGTCTGAAGCATCTGCTCCCATTCCTGAGTAGGCAGCCTCACTCTCCTGGGGTCTGCCCACACCCAGCCCCAGTCCCCCCTCTGATCCCTCCCTTAGCCATCCTGTCCTTGTCCCCACACGTCCAGAGGCGATGACAGAGAGGCCTAGACATCAGGACGCCACTAACCGGGCACAGCTGTGGCCAGCCTCTGTCCGTCTCTCCTCTAGCACCGTGTCAATGTGCAAGGGACACTCCACAGAGGCACCTGTCCAATTCCACACTCAAGAGCAGAGGTCTGGCGCCCAGGCCTGACTCCTCCACTTCTGCCTGCAGCTGTGAGCCCTCGGAGCCCAGAGATGCCTCAGCCATACTTTCTTCCTGTTCCACTTCTACCCAAGGACCGCCACGGTGCCCTTCTGTCGGCACCTGGTGCCTCTCTGGCCACTGAGCCCTTGTGGGCCTGCAGGCCTTGGGTCCCCAGCCACGCTGTCCCCCTGCCACGTTTGTTCACAGTGTTCCTGTGTCCCACCTCTCCCTGCCCATGTAAATCCTCTCTCGAGTGACAGCAGGGGAATGGATGGAAAGGGGTTTCTTGGCAGATGAGGGCAGAATTTCGGAAAGGCAGGGGCTCATCAAACTGTCAGCCAAGTCTGAGGTGCAAAAGTCCTTGAATGGCAGGCCCCCAGTGCCTCGATCTCTCCTCTACGTCCCCCTGGGCCAGGCCAGCTGTCCCCCGTCCGAAGGCATCCTCTTCTGTTCCTCAGTGTGGGCCCTGAGCTGAGTCCCGAGGCCCAGGGAGATCCAATCAGCACAGCCCAACAGATGGCCCCACCCCAGGAGATAGGTCACCTCCCCATTGATGTGGTCCAGGGAAGGGCTTCCTGCAGGGAGTCCAGGAGAGCTCCCAGGGTAACTTCAGAGCCTGGACCCTACCCAGGGCCAGTGCCCCTGGAGCTCTGCCCCAGCCCTGGCCCCTGGGGCCAGCTGGAAAGCACAGAAAGTGGCCTCACAACCATGCGGGACACCATGCCCACCACAGCACTTGGCCCAGAGAGTTAACTGGAAAAAGCCAACAGTTCCCACAGCAGCGCAGCCTGACAGGTCCCCACCTGTGCCCACGCAGCCTGTCAGGGGGAGCAATGGGGCCTTCGGTCTGTTTTTCCAAGCCAGCTGTGACTGTGGAGAGTCTCGGGGGGAAGAAGGGTGGTGGGAGAGGGCAGGAGATGGAGCCAGGTGGGCACGTGGGGGTGGGCAAGAAATGGCAGCGGAGGGGCTGAGGAACCGGGCATGCAGGGGTAGCAGAGGGACACGAGGGAGGTTGTGTGGAGCCCTTCGTTCCCAGAAGTCCCTGGCTCCCCACCTAGTGCCATGTACCTGCGGTCACTGCTCACCCGGGAGTCGTCCTCCCTCGAGAGCACCCTGCCCTGCCAGCTTTGGAGAAAAGGCCCTCCCTGTCTCCCGTCTTCCCACGGGGAGCTCCCACTCGAGCCCGCCCTCAGCTCTTACCAACTTCTGGTAAGTGACGTGTGCAGCCAGGGTCCTGGCCGAGGGGTCTGCAGACCCCGTGGGGGCTGAAGTTTCCTCAAGGGCCCCAAACCCTCTTCCTGGCCTCCTGATTTCCTGGTGGCTCCGCGTAAACGAGAGATGAGCCTAGAAGATGTCTGGGGGAACTGTGACCTTGGTCAGGAAGTCTGGAGACCTGCAGGGCAGAAGGATCCTGCCTGCCCCCATGGAGCCCAAGAATCCTGACCGGGAGAGGGGATCAAGTGTCTGTCAGCCTGCAGATGCCAGGGTCGAACAGACAGACACCAGAGAAGACAAAAGACCTCAAGAACAGTGACATGACGGGCCCCAATCATAGAGTCCCAGGAAGCCAGCAGCAGTGGGGTCTGCACCTGAATCAGCACCCACCCTGCCCAAGGAGAGGAAAGAGGGGGAGAGGTAGGCAGAAGGTAATACAGACCACAGAAGTCACAGGAGCGAACACCCCATTTATTGTGGAGCGTTGGCTCGGGCCACCCTGGGTGGAGCTTTACACACTTGACCTCACTGACCCCGACAACGCTCAGAGAGGGTCCATTCTGGTCACTGAACAGGCAGGACACCGAAGGCCAGAGAGGTGAAGTCCCAGGGCAAGGCTGGAACCCACGTGGGGCCCATCCAACCCAAGCCCTTGCCTTGGGCCACACTCAGTTCTGTCCCCTGCATTTACGAACCGGGGTTTGGCTGGCCTGAGAGGGGCTTGGGAAGGGTGCGGGCTGATGCTGATGCTGAAGGACAGACGGCAGGCGCGGGCCATTCTGCACGCGGAGAGGTGCAGGCCTGCAGAAGCAGCCCGATCCGCGAACCCACCACCACCCAGCCCTGGGAGAAAAGCAGGCACACACTCGGGGCTCTCTCTGCAGCGAAGGTGAACGGGCCCTAATCTCTGGAAAATTAAATCAGAAAGAAAATGGAATGAGAAAGATTTGACGCAGGCTCCACCTCGCTGCTGTCTGTCTCCTCAAAGGCTCGAGCTCAGCTGGGTCTCAGCCAGGCACCCCACATCCCAGGCTGGGACACTGCTCCCCACGTTCCCGCCCGCCATGTCTCCTGGTGTCTGGGTCCTGGTCCCACAGGAGCAGCCAGCCGGGCATCTGACTGCCCGCTCCTTCAGGCCGACAGGCCCTTAAGGAGGAGGGCGGCGAGCAGACGAGCGATGGTGGGCTGTGCCCACCGGGGAGGTGGCAGCCTGCGGAGGTGTGGGCGGGGTCACCTGCCAGACTGGGCGA